CCCTTTTTCGAAGGTCTTAAAAGTGACTTCTGTGGAGTCCTGAGTTTGAGGACATTTTCTTTCTTCTTCTTCTTCTTCTTCTTCTTTTAATATTTTATTGATTTTTACAAAGAGGAAGGGAAAGGGATAGAGAGCTAGAAACATCGATGAGAGAGGAACATCGACCAGCTGCCTCCTGCACACCCCCACCGGGGATGTGCCCGCAACCAGTGCACATGCTCTTGACTGGAATTGAACCCAGTACCTCTCAGTTCACAGGCCGACACTCTATCCACTGAGCCACACCGGTTTCGGTGAGGACATTTTCTTTAACGAGCAGTCAGCTAGCACTGAATGTGTGTCGTGCACGGTTTTAAATGTCGTATAGATGTTTTCTGATTTCATCCTCAGAATAACCCCAAAAGAAGGGCTCTTACCTAATTTTGCAGATGTGTGCATTGAGGCCCAGAGAGGCAGAGTAGCCAGCCCAGGGTCACGGCAGTAGATGGCAGGACCCGGGTTTGAACCCTGGAAATCTAGCTCCACAGAACTGGTCTCACTACCATGACAGGTGGTCTCCCTGAGAAGAAGACTCACAGTTACTGACGTCTGACCTGAAGGCTGTGAGAGATTAATTCATCCCTGCTGCGTCTCCGTCAGAGACTCCTTACACACCAGCTCACACCATTAGGGTTCAAATCTGTGCCCGGAAACTACGGGTGATCCTCTCTGGCTGCCCACCACGCCCCCAAGGTGCTCTGCCTGCGGCCGGCGGCTGCTCACTTCCTGCTTGTGAGCCTGGGGGCAGGGCAGCGGCATCTAATGCTCCATCAGGAAGAAATCTGTTGGCACCCTGGCTTTCCTTGGGAACTCCTGGCTCAGGTGACTCGCTCAGATTTGGCCCCGCGGCTCCTCCTGCTCCCAGCAGCCGCACCGGGAATCTTGAGCCCACGTGGCCTGTGACAGGGAACAGACTGGTGTCATGCTACACCGTCCCTGTTGATCCAAAGATACCACCAGCGCAGGGCTAGGACGGAATGTTTCCGTCTCTCCCAGGAAGAATGGGAAGGCGTGTGAGTGTAAGAGAGGGAGAGAGGGGGAGAGGGAGAGAGAAGGGGAAAGGAGGGGGAAAGGGAAAGGGGAGTGGGAGAGGGAGAGGGAGGGAACATGTCGCATGTTAGGAGGCCAGTAAGGTGCTCAGGACGTCTGGGAGCTTCTGCTCAGTTACAGCCGTAGGCCCGCCCAGCTGTTTTCTTTTGGGGACCACAGCGTCCTGCATAGCTATTGCCGGCACCCCCAAATCCACGAGTGCAGTGCAGGTCTTTACTTTGTGTTCGGTTGCTTTCCACATGTATGTAGATGTCACCAAACCAAAAGGAAAAGCTCACCTGGCTGGTGGTGCTCCGTGGTTAAGCGTCAACTTATGAGCCTGGAGGTCACGGTTCAATTCCCATTCAGAGCACATGTCTGCATTACGGGTTTCATCCCCAGTGAGGGGCGTGCAGGAGCAGCCAGTCATTGATTATCTCCCATCACCAACGTCTCTCCCTCTCCCTTCCTCTCTGAAATCAGTAAAAATGTTTTTTAAGAAGAAAACTACATAAATAAAAAAGGGAGAAGCTGCACTGAAGTTGTGTAAGCTCTCGTTAGCACAACGACCACCTGCTGAGCAGCTGCATCCAGTTCAAGCCCCTCCTAGGCAGATGGGAACCCTGAGGCGTGGGGTGAGGGCAGAGTTGCCGTCCCTGGCAGCAGGGAACTGGCTTGGGAGCTGGTTCATTGCATGAGCCATGACCTTAGCTGTGTCCCTCTGGGGCGGTCGCAGAGAGATTGGCATGTATTTTGACCTTTAATACTATGCTGTACGTTCTAATATTGTCTAATCGGGTGGTTTATCGCCATAACGTTTTCCAGTTGTATAATGCTTCTCTTGAGAATCAATCAATTAGTGAATTAGTAGATTCCTATATTCCTTGCCCTGCCCCCGTGAGTGAAATCCTGTTTCCAGCCTGGGAACTTGAGGCGTGGTGGAACTGGGCGACTGGCTTCTGTCTGGGCAGAGCTGGCCCTGAAGGTTTGTCTCTGGCCCAGGCCCGTCCATCAGCCTGAGCGTGCGGATCTCGGCGTTTCTGTCTTAGTCCTCGATGGCGTTTGCGCTCAGCTGGGTGCAGCGGGACTTTTTAATCCTCACCGGGAATATGTTCATGTTTATTTTTTCACCTAATAGCTATTGAACTTTTGGGCAAGTTACCTAACTTCTAAGTCTTGGCTTACTGGAATTCATGGCAGAGGACCAAAATGAGAAAATACAGTGGGAACTCAATAAATGACTATCCTTTTTCTTAAGCGACATTTAAAAAACTGAGATTATGAATGAGGGTATTCGGTGTTTTTATATCTTTTCACAAAGTTTAGGAGCCCAGGGCTGTAGTATTGGAAGGTCTCTCAATCGTTTTAGAACCAATGAAGGACTCCCTCAAACTCTTTAACTAAAATCCGCTTCCTTAGGCCTGTCACAATATTATAACGTACAGCTTAGTATTAAAGGTCACAATACGTGCCAGTCTCTCCCTCTGCGACCGCCCTAGGGGACACTGCATAAGGTCCACCCAGCGCCAAGGTTCCCTGCTGCAACTCTCTGCCCTCACCCCACGCCTCAGGGATCCCATCTGCCTACGAGCGGCTTGAACTGGATGTGGCTGCTCAGCAGGTGGTCGTTGCGCTGCCCTGCTGCTCCCAAATCCTCTTTTCGGACTCACTCTCCGTTAGCTCTCCTCAGAAGATGCATCGTCTTCCTTTCCCGTCCGGGTCTCCCTCTTCCAACAGAGACTGGCTTTAATGGACACGAAATTCAGCTCGTTGACCAGCCTCTCCCTGCCTCTTTTCTGCGAGCTCTCCTGGAACTGGTCACCCAGTCCCCACACAGGCAGCTTGCTCTGCGTGTCTTCCCACTTTCCAGGCGAGAAGTAACTACATAGCGTTGAGCACGGCAAGTTGAACCCACATTTTAACACCCGCCCCCTGTGATATCCTTAAAATGACATAAGGGAGAAAAGGTTATCAGCGAATGAGCGGCTGTTGGCGTGTTAAAGGCACAAAGCCTGTGCGATGAGCCGGTGGGCCAGAGGCACGGGAAGAGGGAGGGCTGTAAGCGGAAGCTGGACCCGCTCCAGAGCCGAGAAACCAGGAAGAGACAGAAAGAAGGCTGGCCGGAAGCTGTGAGAAGCGATTAGAGGCCCACAGTCCCGCCCCCGCACTCGGGGCCGGGCCTCTGGTCTAGACGGTGAATCAGAGGCCGGCGGAGCAGAGAGGACGGGTGGCTGGAGCAAACCTGGAACACGGGCCTCAAAGACAGAGTCCAGCCCGTGAACGCAGTGACCGCCGGCCGCCCTCACCGGGGCCTCCTGCCCGCCGGTCCCCTCCAAAGCCAGCCTGGGGAGGGCACAACTGCTACCAGGGCCCCAGATAAATGCCCTTCACCTGCCACCCAGGCGACATGTGGAAACCCCTTCACGTCCCGCATGGTACAAGGTTCGGGTTCTGGAGAAGGCCGCACACAAATGAAAAGCATTAACTTGGGAAATTTGGGAATGGGGGCCAGGCGGAAGCCCGAGAGGACGACTCCTCACCCCTTTCCTTAGGATGGAGATTATGGGATACACCCTTATCCCCCAGGCAGGAAACTCCAATAATAGCCAATCAGCGAATTTACTTACAACTAACAGGTGGAGGCTGCTTCCACTACCAAAGTCTAGTGATTAGCTCTGACCCTTCACAGCAATTCAGGTTGACCAGCCCTGCAGACTCCCCGTCCAACCTCTGCATTAATAAACCGATGATCGGCTTCGGCCGTGACGTCCACAGGCTGACAAGCCTAGCCCCGCCCCCACGGCTCCCCAACAGCTTCCAGAGGTGTGAGCAGTTGACCAAACATCACAGACGTTTAGAGCAAGCCTCCAGCATAGCCGGCAGGCCACACGGACGGGCCGGAGAACGCTGAGGAGCAGCGAGGGGAGGAGGAGGAGGCCGTTCTCCGTGAGTGAGAGATTAGGGGAAACGTTGGTCGTGAAATGTGGACAGTATAGCTTTTAAAAAGAGAGAAGAAGCTTCAGGAAACAAGAAGGACCTCTCAGACTTAGTGGCTGAGGATGGGAGAGCCAGTGTGTGGTTCCAGAAGGGCCTGGGTCACGGTTTGCAGGACACCGGCTCAGAGCCCCCTCCGGAGCGGAGCGGCCCTGGAGGGGGCGTGTGGGTGCACGAGGGGGACAGACGGGCCCAGCGGGAACCCGGGACGACGGTGACAGGAGACCTGAGGTGGGTGAGAGTCGGCTCCTGTGAGGGCCGGTGGCGGGAGAGCAGCCAGTGCTTCGTGCGTTGATGGGAGCTGCAGGCTGCGCGGAAGGGAGCGTCCTCGGGCAGGTCGCTGGGGCACTGGTAAGGACTCCCTCGCTCCGGCTCCGGCTCCGGCTCTGCCGGCTCCGACAGCTCAGAGCCCCGGTGGCTGAGCACGGGCCGCACAGCTCATGGGCCACGAGGCGCCTGGGCTCCGTGGGGTCTGCCCCAGGCTGGTTAGTACCCAAGGACGCCCCAACTTTTGACCCTCTGCGCCGCCTCTGCCTCTGACCCCCACCTGTGCCCCTGTTCCCGTTGGTCTCCCCGCCTTATCTCTTCCTGTCTAAGCCCTTGCTCTGGGGAGCCTGCTGTGAGGGCCTCCGCGCGTGTGGCCGTGCCCGTCCTCTGCCTCCCGGCATCGGAAGGAAGGTCAGGGAACAGGTCTGGGGTTGGGGAGTCGGGCCCTGGGGAAACCCGCCACGTGGCGCACCCGGTCAGGCTGGCATGTGGGGAGCCTGTGACTGTGCCAATGACGTGTCCATGGCAGGACCCGGCGTGGGAACACTCGGGGTCTCCGATGATCACGAGGTGGACGCCTTTGCTGCCATCCCGGGCAGGGCCGCGTGGAAGGGCGTGTGGGGTCTCTGAATTTGCCTTCCTCCCTCTCTCTCTGTTTTACTTGCCCGCAGATTGGGGACCACAAGTTCAGCGCTCACCGAATCGTCTTAGCAGCCTCCATCCCATACTTCCACGCGATGTTCACCAATGACATGATGGAGTGCAAGCAGGACGAGATTGTGATGCAGGGAATGGACCCCAGGTACCGCTCCTCCTCCGACTCTCCCGGCTGCTTCCCTGGTGCCAGTGCCCGGGGGCCGAGCAGGACACGGTGTCTACAGCTCCGCACTGTGCACCTCGGTCCGTGCGCACACACACACACACACACACACACACACACCATGCACGCTCCATCCTGTGCACGCTCCGCTCTGTGCGTGGCGGTCAGTAAACAAGTTAGGCCCTAACAGTGGAGCCTCTGCTCTTTGCTCTGTCAGCACATTTAACAGGCAGTAGAGTCTAAGGTGCATTTTTGCCTGGGACGGGTACAGAGGTGGGGGCTGTCACTCTCTGCACTGCTCTGTGGCGCCGTGTGAGCGGGCACACTTTTCAAGTAAGAGCCCGGCCTCGGGCTGGAGCAGTGACTCCAACACTGGCCGGTAGCCTGCCGTTTGCTGCCTAACCTTACGCGGTGGGAATGCAGGGAGAGGGCTGGGCACCTGGGCGCCCTCTGCTGATTGAGGGTCCCACCCCAGTCCGGAGAGGGTTTGTGACCACACACGGCAGGCCGGGGACTTACAGGACGCACACAGCGGGGTCTGAGGACAGTTGCACTCGCTCCTCAGAGGTCTGTGTTGGAAGGAGCCGTGCTGCCAGGCACCTGTGTGTGTGCGGAGGCTGGCCTGGGGGTGACACGGAGGCAGCTCTCCTGCACCGACTCCGGTGGTGGGACCTGGTGATAGGCAGGTGCAGGGGGCTGACCGGGAAGAACGTGATGTCAGGAAAGCCAAGGCGAGCGAAGGAAGAGGGGCCTGTGTGTGTCAGGGAATCGGACGGCCTCTGTGACGAGGTGGCATTTGAGCCCAGACCTTCATTGAGGTGAGGGAGGGAGCCGTCTGGGGACGAGCCCTCCAGGAGAGGGAGCAGCCCGTGCAGAGCCCTGAGGTGAGAGAGGGCACAGAGTGGACGGTGACGAGGCTGTGCAAATGGAGGAGCCAGGCTGCCCGCAGTCCTGGAGGTGAGATTTGGACTTTCCTCTCAGTGCGTCGCGAGAGAGAAGAAAAAGCTGGGATTCTCCTTCTGGAAATTTATCCCAAAGAAGTAATATTCCAGCACCATTATTTATAACGGCAGTAGGATGGTGGTAGCTATTACACCGAGACCTTCTGGAACACTCTCTAGCAGCCGCTAAGGATGAGACGTGAGGGGCGTGTAGCAACACGGAAAGGGCCTCATGCATCTCAGGAAGGTTTATGCCACTCAGGCAAAGAGGGTGAAAGGGCCCAGGAAGGTGGCACCAGGGACCTGCTCAGGAGTGACATGTGGTCCTTGCTTTCTCTTTTTAAACGTTTCTGTCACAAAACTATTTGGGCAACACAGACAAGAAGCAGGACGCGTCTGCCCTGGGGAAGCACGATTCCTTCAGGAGCTCTCCAAGGGCATGGCTGTCGGGTGGGTGTCATGGCTGTCATGGCTGTCAGGGTGGATGTCATGGGTGTCATGGCTGTCAAGGTGAGTGTCGTGGCTGTCATGGCTGTCAGGGTGGATGTCATGGCTGTTAGGATGTATGTCATGGGTGTCATGGCTGTCAGGGTGGATGTCATGGGTGTCATGGCTGTCAAGGTGGGTGTCATGGGTGTCATGGCTGTCGGGGTGGATGTCATGGGAGTCATGGCTGTCAGGGTGGGTGTCATGGCTGTCAGGGTGGATGTCATGGGTGTCATGGCTGTCAAGGTGGGTGTCGTGGCTGTCATGGCTGTCATGGCTATCAGGGTGGATGTCATGGGTGTCATGGCTGTCAAGGTGGGTGTCATGGGTGTCCTGGCTGTCGGGGTGGATGTCATGGGAGTCATGGCTGTCAGGGTGGGTGTCGTGGCTGTCAGGGTGGGCCATCCGTCCCCAGGCGGAACCGCCCACCCGCTCAGGGCTGTGTCTCTGGGCGAAGACCGTCTCTAAGGAGTGTCTTGCTCTTCCCTCCAGCGCCCTGGAGGCTCTCATCAACTTTGCCTACAACGGCCACCTCGCTATCGACCAGCAGAACGTCCAGTCGTTGCTGATGGGGGCGAGCTTCCTGCAGCTGCAGAGCATCAAAGACGCCTGCTGCGCCTTCCTCCAGGAGCGGTGAGGCGGGGCGGGGGCACCTCTCCCTTTCTGGAACCCGGCCAGTTCGCGAGTCTTGGGGCCCAGAGTGTTAGAGTGAGCCAGGAGGGTGCTCCACAGAAGCGCCCTTCCTTTCTTCCTTCTTTCCTTCCTTCCTTCCTTCCTTCCTTCCTTCCTTCCTTCCTTCCTTCCTTCCTTTCTTTCTTTCTTTCTTCTTTCTTCTTCTTCTTTTTATTTTATTTTATTTTATTGATTTTTTTACAGAGAGGAAGATAGAGGGACAGAGAGTTAGAAACGTCGATGAGAGAGAAACATTGGTCAGCTGCCTCCTGCACACCCCCCAGTGGGGATGTGCCCGCAACCAAGGCACATGCCCTCGACTGGAATCGAACCTGGGACCCTTCAGTCTGCAGGCCAACACTCTATCCAATGAGCCAAACCGGTTTCGACCTTTTTAAAAATATATTTTATTGATTTTCGAACCTGGGACCCCTCAGTCCTCAGACTCTACCCACTGAGCCACACTGGTTTCGGCAAAGCGACCTTTCTTGAAGGCGGTGTCAGGCAGTGTCCGGCCCTGTGGGTTGAGCCCTGAGGAACACAGTTTACGGAGCCCTGCCTGCGCTCTCCGTGGCCTGACTGGTCCTCCCTCCCCAGGCTGACCAGCTGCTAACTGACCGCTCTCACCCAGCTGGCTTAGCCGGTGCTCCCTGGCTACTCCACAGACATCTCCTTCGTTTAGCTCCTTCCCCTCCTGACGGTCGCCATCTTGTTCCCCTTCAGCTTTAGGAGCCCACCCAGATGCCACCTCCCGGGTTTTCCTGTCCCTTGTATGCTCCTTTAGGGAGGACGATGGGCTCACTCTGTCCCCCCTGTGCCCAGCACTGGACAACGACCTTTTGATGGCTGAGCAGATAAAAGTCCCCGCCCTCCTCCTCCCGCCCCCGAAGCGGCAGAGCTCTTAGTCATAAGGTAAAGCCGCCCGTTCCCATGGCGGCTCGGACATGGGGTCAGTGCGGGCGCTCCCAGGGCCTGGTCTGCTCCTGACAACTGACCACCAGGTTCCTCCGTCTCAGATGTGCCCTCTAGAGCCGACCCCTCCCTGTCCCTCCTCCTAGCACCTCACACACATTAACCCGGTGCCCTCAGCTCCGGCTCCCGGCTAGCCACCTGCCCGGGGCGCAGTGAGGCCTGGCATGGTGCCCTCCCGGGTGCGGGGTGGGTGGCTTTGTGGTGAGGGAGGTGGTCTGCTCTGGTTTGGCAGATGGAGACCCGCAGTCCGGAGCTTGGCTTGAGCCTGCCCTGGGTGCCTTCTGGGCAGGCGGAGGGCTGCACGTCGGGCGTGGGGCAGACACTGAGCCGCTTAGGGAGCAGACTGGATTTAGTTCCCAGGAAAGGGGAGAATGCTGAGCAGGCACTCTGAGGATGAAGTGGCCTGCCTCACCGGGACAACAGCTCCACCTAGGGGCTGTGGCGGGCAGCGCTGCACCAGATCCAGGCCCTGTTACAGGGTCGTGTCCCTAAAACATGCTGAGAAAAGGGTTTTTAGACCAGAGCTGCTCTTCATGCCCCAGGGACGTGTCCTTTATCGCTTCTCTGAGCCTCGCTCCATCTGAGGAGGAGGCCACGGCTGCCCCGCACCGTGCACAGGCCTGGCGAACGCGGCTCCCTGGTGGTGGCTGCTGGGCCTGTTCTGGAGTCTAACCATTGGGCCCACCGGCCTCCGTCTCTGTAAACAGACATGCAGGTCCTGAGGTTGGAGGTCACTTCTCCTCGGGCCTTAAGCTCTCAGCTGTGCCTCTGCCTTCAGCGGCCGGAGGCGCCCACTCAGCCAAGGGGCCGGCAGCCGGGGGAAAGCAGAGTCTCCGGCGCCGGTTTCCTCTCCTCCTCCGAGAGCTGCTCCCGAGAGGCAGCGGACGGCTCACTGCTTTGCGTTCTTTCTTGTGCAAAAGGCTTCACCCCAAGAATTGCCTGGGCGTGCGCCAGTTTGCGGAGACGATGATGTGTTCCGTGCTGTACGAGGCGGCCAGCAGCTTCGTGCACCAGCACTTCGTGGAGGTGTCCGTGTCGGAGGAGTTCCTGGGCCTGCCCCTGGAGGACGTGCTGGAGCTGGTGTCGCGGGACGAGCTGAACGTCTCGTCCGAGGAGCAGGTCTGTGGGCGGGGCCGGGGGGGGGCGGCTCTGGATGCGGAAGGCACCACGGACCGGCTTCCACCGGGAGATCACGTGAGAGCCGGGGGTGCGTGTCACCCAGCGCGCTCCGTGTCGGAACCCCACGGGGAGCAGAGAAGAGTCCTCAGGAGACGAGTTGGGACGACGGAGGGGCCGGGGATGCCTCAGCAGAGGGACGGTCGGGGCACAGGGATGTGGCCCCTGACTGGGAAGAGTCGCCCCAGAGCGTCCACTCTGTCTGGGCAGGTCTTCGAAGCCGCGCTGGCCTGGGTCAGGTACGACCGGGAGCAGCGGGGGCCCTGCCTGCCGGAGCTGCTGTCCAACATCCGGCTGCCCCTCTGCCGGCCCCAGTTCCTGTCGGACCGCGTGCAGCAGGAGGACCTGGTGCGATGCTGCCACAAGTGCCGGTGAGCGGGCGGGGCTGCCGGGGCTGCCGGGCCCCTGTGGGGGGCGGGAGGGAGGCGGGGGGGCAGGCCTGGAAGCGGGAGTGTGGGCCCCACGGGGAAGAGGCCTGCTGGCCTAGCCCCTCGCATCGTGCCAGGGACCTGGTGGACGAAGCAAAGGACTACCACCTCATGCCGGAGCGCCGGCCCCACCTGCCGGCTTTCCGGACGCGGCCTCGCTGCTGCACGTCCATCGCCGGGCTCATCTACGCCGTGGGAGGCCTCAACTCAGCAGGTACCTTGCAGCTCCCCCCCGCGGAGCCCTGCCTCGCTCTCCGAGGGTGAGGGAGCACCCACCGGCCCCCTGCCCCGGCCCCTCCTGCGAGCGGCCCCTCTGGCCCACCTCGATTTTAATGCATTGCTCTGCAGTGAAGCTGTCAGCTGCTAGGACCATTGGTCAGAATATCGGGGCTGAAGAGGTTAGCCCGGAGGCCTGGCCCCTCTCCTTCCCAGCGGGAACGGAGGCCCGTGAACTTCCACCGGCTCAGGGTTGGTTTTGGCCGAGCAGGGACTAGAACGTGGGTCCGGACTCCTGAGCAGCACTTGCTCTGCTGCCCACTGGCCATGGAGGGCTCAGCCTCGACAGGGCATAGTCGGAGATCCCGCTCTGACCCCCGGCTGACTAATCCCCGAGGTTCGGCTGTGAGAAAGTCACCTTCAGCAGGACAGACACACGGCGTCTGCTGCGATCAGCAACCTGGTCCCTCTATACGCTCGGTCCTGTGAGCACCCGCTTTGCAGTCCGGGTGCCAAGGGCAGCTCTCCTATCAGACAGTCAGGGTTTGGGGAAGCTCCGTGGCGCCCCCTGTGTGCCCGGCTCCATCGCGGGCAGGAGGGACTCAGTCGGGAGGCAGGACACCTGGGTCCGGGCAGTGCAGTGACAGGAAATGGTCATCTCAGGTGCAAGGGGGCCCGGCCTGGCCACAGTGCCAGCAGGTCTGTGGAAGGTGGGTGGGGGGCAGTCCAGGCAGCTTTGTTTTTAATTGAAAGTTAACAAGGGGTGGTCACTAGTCTGACCTCTCAGTTCGCAGCTAGTAGCCTGTCGAGTGGCAGGTGCTAAGTGCCCAGAGCAGGGAAGGCGGGGCCGGTGCTTCATTTGACCCTCACAGAGGCCTGAAGGAAAGGGCTGAGTCCCACCCCTGCTGCCGAGCGCTGGGCACACTGGAGCTCTGCCAGGTCTCTGTCGGGTCCCCCGATCCGGCAGCTCTGCCCTCGGAGTGCTCCCCGGGGAGGGCAGAGGACAGGACCCAGCCACTTCCCCGGTCCAGGCCAGCGGCTGAGAGCGGGCGCTGGAACCCTCCGGCTGCCTCCTGTCCAGCGGCCGGCACGGCGCCGTGAGCAGTGGAGCCCATGGCAGCGTGAGACGGCCTCTCTCGGAAACAACCCTCCATGGGATTCTCCTTTCCTTCGGGGCGGAGGGCTGGGGTTATCAGACTGGAACTGCCTAGAGGGCCCTTCGGCGTGCAGAGCCGACAGAGCCAAGCCATACAGCCCCGTGACCAGTGCCCCGGCTGTGTCCCGCCAGGGGGTCGTTGGTTTAACGTGAGTAGCAAATTTTTACGCAGGTGACTCCCTGAACGTGGTGGAAGTGTTCGACCCCCTCGCCAACCGCTGGGAGAAGTGCCAGCCCATGACGACCGCCCGCAGCCGCGTCGGCGTGGCCGTGGTGAACGGGCTGCTCTACGCCATCGGGGGCTACGACGGGCAGCTGCGGCTGAGCACCGTGGAGGTCTACAACCCCGAGACGGACACGTGGGCCCGGGCGGGGAGCATGAACAGCAAGAGAAGGTACCACACGGGCTCGGCGCCGAGCGGGGAGCAGGGCTCCGGCTGCCGCGGGAACATGCCTGCCGCGTCCTCGGGCACCAGGGCGGAGGGGGCTCGGGCAGGCGGAGCTGTTATACGCGCCGATGAGGCCTGTGCGGCGGAGACAGCCGCCGCGGCCGGGAGAGGTCCGGGCCCCGGCCAGGCCTGTTCACTGCCCGGGGAGCACGTGAGCAGCCATGCTCTCCACCTCAGGGCCCCAGGCCTGCGCACCGAGGCCGGGAGGTAGGCCAAGCCCTCGCCTCCCACCTCCCTCCGCCACGCCCGCCTGCTCACTCACCTTCCTGGACCAGCAGCCGTGGTGCCCGTCCACCGGCCAGCGCCGAGATGACGGCGCCCTCCTCCCGTCTGCGCGCGTGTCACGTGCAGAGTGTGTGTCCGTGTGTGTGTGCGTGTGTGCGCGCACGCGTGTGCCTGTGGGGGGGGGTGTGTGGGGAAGGTGTGGGAGGGGTGTGGTGTGTGTGGGAGTGTGTGGGGTGTGTGGTGTGTGTGTGTGGGGGGTGTGGGGTGTGTATGTGTGTATGTGTGTGGTGTGTGTGTGCGCGCACGCACATGGTACATGTCTGCGTGCGCGTGGGGGGGTGTATGTGTGCGCGCACGCACGGGGTACATGTCTGTCTGTGTGTGCGTGTGCCTGTGTGTGGTGTGTGTGGTATGTGTGTGGGTGGAGGGGTGGTGTGTGTGCGTGCGCGTGCGTGGGGTGCCTGTCTGTGTGCGTGCGTGTGCCTGTGGGGGGGTGTGTGTACGTGCGTGTGCGTGGGGTGCGTATCTGTGTGCGTGCGTGTGCCTGTGTGGTGTGTGTGTTTGCGTGCGTGGGGTGCGTGTCTGTGTGCGTGCGTGTGCCTGTGTGGTGTGTGTGTTTGCGTGCGTGGGGTGCGTGTCTGTGTGCGTGCGTGTGCCTGTGTGTGGAGCTGGGCAGTTCTTCCCTCTCCTGCCCCTCGGAGAGGCCACCTGGGCTCCGGGGTTCCAGAGGGACCCGAAGGCGGAGAGAGCAGTCCCGGCCACAGCACCACCGAGCGCACGCGTGCCCCCTTTCCGCGCTGCTCGGGCCCGCCCGCCTCGGGGGAGCGCGGTGCTTTTCCGCAGCAGCAGGGGAAAGCCCGGGCCGGGCCCTCAGGGCTGAGTGTTTGCCCCAGGCCGCTTGTCCGCTGTGCCTGGGGCTTTCACCTTGTGAGGTCATGCGACCACACCAAGGTCATGTGGCCGCATGTGTGGTGGGAGAAGGGTCAGCATGCAAGTCCTTGCCACATGCATGTGTCACGCCGTGGTGCACATGTTCCACCTCCATCCGTGTCAGTGCGTGGCCTCACGCCAGAGGAGCTGCCTTACTGCCCAGCAAGACCAGCTCGCACAGGGCCCCACAGGCGTGCGGGGCGCAAAGCTGTGTCCCCCAGCAGTCCTCCCGCCGCCCCTCCGGCTCCCGGCAGCCGTGGGTCCTCGGCGGCTCTGTGGCCTCGACTGGCTGCTCCACAGCCCAGCCCGGCTGCCTTCTGCCCCCACGGCAGGCACTGCTCCCGTGTCTGTCGGCGCCAGCCGCCTCCCCGCCTCAGTCAGGAGGGCGGGGCCGGGGGCTCGTCCCGGCTGTGGGTGCCCTGCTCCTGGAGTGGGTGCCCTTCAGTCACAGCTGCCTACCCTCCTCGTCACTTCCCCGCGGACCTCCCCCTCGGCCCTTCCTGCCGCCAGCCCTTCCCTCCTCCAGCCGTGCAGGCTGCTTCCGGAGCCTTCTCTCACGGACTCCAGGCCACACCCACCAGCATTCCCCCTTCCCCCCGCCTCGTCTCTGCCCCCGAGGGGGTAGCTCATCTCACGCGTGGCCCCTCGCTCTTCCCGTGTTCTTGTTGAACTTCCGTGTTGTTGCTTGTGTCGCCCTGAAAGGACAGCGGCTGTCCCGGGAGTGTGACCCCCAAACCCAAGCCACCCGCACCCCGCACCCCTGCCCCCCGCATCCCACACCCCACCCCCCGCACCCCCGTCCTCCGCACCCCGCACCCCCGTCCCCACACCTCGCATCCCCGCCCCTCGCACCCCCCCCCAAGGCCAGTCCTCTCCGCGTTCAGGCGCTCAGGTCTGTGCCCGGCCGCGGCCTCGTGTGGGCGCTCTCGCTTGCTGGGCAGTTGAGCCCGTGGACTTAGGTTCCTGTTGTCAGACGCCAGGATTTACCGAGAACCCCCCCAGTCCTCCTCCGTTTGGTGAACACAGGCGCCGGCCGCGAGGCGTTTGTCGTCACCGGGGCTCCGGGCGGACAGATGGCGTGGCTGTGCGGCCCGGGTCCTTGGTGCTGGGGAGCTGGCGTGTCTCACTCGCGCCTGAGCTCGCCTCTGTGTGACGATGGGTGCTGCTTCGGGGGGTGGGGCCGTGCAGGCCTGGGGCAGCTGACACTGCCCTCGCGCAGCCGCGGGGGCTGTTCCCTCCCCCGCGGCATCGGCCGTGCAGGCCGTGTGTGCAGCGGAAACGCTGGCCGAACCTGGTAGTGAGTTGGGTGGGAGGGTCATGGTAAGACACCGAACGTGCAAGGGCCTGTGTGTACACGCACCTCACACAACACTCAGGCTCACGAGGGAGTGTGGGGCTGCAGGCCTCTTGCTGAGGGGTCAGGTGGCCTTTGAGGAGGAGGACAAGGACTCTGACCAGGACCGTCCAGTCCATCAGACCATGGGCACAGCCGGGGGCGGGCACGGGGGCGGGCATGGGAGACGGTTCAGGCCTGCGGAGTCGGAGTCGGGGTGAGAGACGGGAGCCCAGGGCAGCGGCGGCCCCCAGCTCTCACCTTGACTACCACACCCAGGTGTAGGCTGCCCTCGAGGCGGCGGCGGCGGTGGGTCTACATCGCGGGCGTAGGAAGGCGGCCGGAGCTGAGGCCGCCGCTGGCTGTCTTGCAGCGCCATGGGGACGGTCGTGCTGGACGGGCAGATCTACGTCTGTGGGGGCTACGACGGCAACTCTTCCCTCAGCTCCGTGGAGACCTACTCGCCCGAGACGGACAAGTAAGCACTGGGCTGGCTGAACCGGTCAGCGTCAGAGCTGGCTGCAGCCGGGCTCCCGGGGGGAGCTGTCCTGCCCGTGAGCTCCAGGGCCTGCGCTGCACCCTCAGTGACTGCCTTCGCGGGAATCAGGCAGAGGGCGAGGGGCAGTGCGCAGGCTCCTGGGGGGCAGGAGGACGGGGTGTAAGTGACGGGTCCGGCGTCTGCTTCCCTCATTTATGTGACTCCGGGCCCACTTGTGGGATTATTGGCCCCAAGTTTTTCATTTCGGTGTTTGAGTTTCCTCATGTTACGTAACAGACGTCAGCACGTTAGCGGGCTGGATTCATCGGTGCTTTTAGCCAGAACCTGCTTCCTCTGACCTGTTACGTATGGGCAGCAAGGAGGCATCTAAGCCTGTGACGTAGCACAGTCATCCACTCGGGGCCCCCCTGCGGCCTGGGCGCAGCGTGGGAAGGCCTTCCTCCCCGCCAGGGCCGAGCCGTGGCGGATGGGGTGCTCAGGAGGCAGGGAGGCAGTGGGAGGGGTCGCGGAGGTTAGACTGCCCGTGGGGTCGGGCGTGGTGTGGCTGCTGCGTGGCCGGGCTCAGAGCCAGCGAGTGGGCCAGGGCCACGTGGTGAGGAGCCACGTTAGGGAGGTGGTCTCTGCCTCGAGGGAGCACTGCGGAGCCCTGGGGCGTGCTGCTCAGGGTCCCGGTGGGCGAGGCCTGAACGCCAGGCCCCTGTAAGGAGGCTGCTGCAGTGGTTCAGGGGAGGCCAGAGCCAGGGGATGGGGACAAGCCGTGCCCAGGAGCAAACCAGCTAGGGATTGTCTACCACAAGGTCAGGGAAGATGAGGGAGAAGAGGCCATAAAGCTGCTGTTCACCAGGACAGCCACTAGGGGGTGGGCCCACAGAAAAGACCTGGGAGTGCAGGGAGGCGCGGACCTGGAGAGGCTGGGCCTTGGCCCGCTGAGGTGGGCGCCTCAGGGGTCAGAGGCCGCTGCGGGCCTGGGCTGGGGAGCTGCCTCGCTGGGGTGGCCCCGGTGCTGGGAGGTGGCTGAGGTGGGTGCGGGGCGGAGGGCGCACAGGCAGAGCCCCGAGCCTCCTAAGGCTCCCCGGAGGCAGGGGCCGACCTCACGGGCGCCTTCTGCGTTGGCTCTTCCCGAAGGTGGACAGTGGTGACCCCGATGAGCTCCAGCCGCAGTGCCGCCGGGGTCACCGTCTTCGAGGGCAGGATACACGTGTCCGGCGGCCACGACGGCCTGCAGATCTTCAGCAGCGTGAGTCGGGCCTCCTGGGCTGGGCACCTGCTCCCCCATCTGAGGGGACTGGAGGCCGGCTCCCTGGGAGCCTCCCCGTCGCCCCGGGAGGGTCGGGCCACCCACGCCGCTCTGCAGTCCGGGAGGCCGAGTGCAGCCCCTTCGGCCCGAGCCGCACGGCCGGGAAATGAACCCCCCGTCCCGAGGCCCCTCAGTGCTGGCTGGGTTCGGGGGACCCACTGCACCTGCTGTCTTCCCTGCAGAGCGGCTTTAAGCACAGACGGAGGGCGGTCTGGGCCCTGCCCTGTCCCTGTAAACCCAGGAGCTGGGGAGTCAGAGCCAGGCCCGCCCTGCGAGCTCCGTCCCCCAGGGCTCCCGTCCCCCAGGGCTCCCGTCCCCCAGGGCTCCCCATCCCCCTGGGCCCCCCCCGTCCTCTGGGGCCCCCCGTCCCCTGGGGCTCCCATCGCCCTGGGCCCCCCGTCCTCTGGGGTCCCCCATCCCCTGGGGCTCCCGTTCCCCTGGCCCCCCCCCCGTCCTCCTGAGCCCCCCGTCCTCTGGGACCCCCCATCCCCCTGGGGCTCCCATCCCCCAGGGCTCCCGTCCCCCTGGGGCCCCCCGTCCCCTGGGGCTCCTGTTCCCCTGGGGCCCCCCGTCCTCTGGGGTCCCCCATCCCCCTGGGGCTCCCGTTCCCCTGGGCCCCCCCCCGTCCCCCTGGGCTCCCGTCCCCCAGGGCTCCCGTCCCTCAGGGCTCCCGTCCCCCTGGAGCCCCCCCGTCCCCTGGGCCCCCTGTCGCCCTGGGCCCCCCCCCCCCCGTTCCCCTGGGGCCCCCTGTCCTCTGGGGCCCCCCGTCCCCCTGGGGCTCCCGTTCTCCTGGGGCCCCCCCTGGGCCCCCCGTCCTCCTGGGCCCCCCGTCCCCCTGGGGCTCCCATCCCCCTGGGGCTCCCATTCCCCTGGCCCCCCCCATCCTCCTGGGCCCCTCCCCGTTCCCCTGGGCCCCCCCCCGTCCTCTGGGGCCCCCCGTCCCCCTGGGCCCCCCATCTCCCTGGGCCCCCGTCCCCCTGGGGCTCCCATCCCCCTCGCCCGGGAGTCTGACCCCGAGGCCATGGTGCTGACGCCGCCTGGCCTCCCCGCAGGTGGAGCACTACAACCAGCACACGGCCACCTGGCACCCCGCGGCCGGCATGCTCAGCAAGCGCTGCCGGCACGGGGCGGCCGCCCTGGGCAGCCGGCTGCTCGTGTGCGGCGGCTACGACGGCTCCGGCTTCCTCAGCAGCGCCGAGGTGTACAGCGCCGAGGCCGGCCAGTGGAGCCTCGTGGCGCCCATGCTCTCACGCCGCAGCCGCGTGTCCCTGGTGGCCAGCTGCGGCCGGCTCTACGCCGTGGGCGGCTACGACGGGCAGTCCAACCTCAGCTCCGTGGAGGCGTACGACCCGGAGGCGGACGGCTGGACGCTCACCGCCCCCATGGCCTGCCACGAGGGCGGGGTCGGGGTGGGCTGCGTCCCTCTCCCCGCCGTCTGAGCGCGGGGTGGGCGTGGCGGGTCGGGGGCAGGTACCAGCAGGCACGTCCTCCAGGGGCACCCCGCCCGGAGAGGCGGGGCCAGCAGGCAGGGCCCGGGGAGCCGGGGGGCGGGTCCCGGGCGCCGGGCCTCCCTCGGCGTGCTGCCCGCGCCCTCCGAGTCCAGGGCCCCAGGATGCACGGCCTGGCCAGGTGCCTCGGCCTCACAGCTGGTGCCGGCGGCTGCTGTGGTCACTCGCACAGGCCCGTCCACCTCCCCGGCCTCGGCTCCGAGCCAGCCTGGCAGGAGGCCTCCATCTGAAGGGCAGCCACGCGTGGAAGTGGGGGTGGCTGGGAGAGGAGGACGCTCTGGAATTCTCGTGCCTGTGGGAGGCTCGCTCCAGGCACCTCAGTCCGTCCGTCCATCTGTCCGTCCGGGCAGAGGCCTCGTCCTCGTCCTGGTGAGCGGCGAGCACGGAAATCCTGTCTGCTGTTGGGTTCCAGTGAGGCCTTTTCATCTTATTCAGGAGAAACGGAAGGAAAAAAGGATACTTGAAAGAAACTGGAAAGAAAAAGAACTTTTTCTTAAGTGAACATTTTTTACAAGAAGAAAACATTAAAAAAGAGACACTAAAAGGAAATAGTGTTTAAGCAGAAAACCACTGACACGTAGAGGGTGGAGGCCTCGCCCACATTCGGATCCGGTCCTGAGCCTCGCACAGCAGCAGGGTTCCCTCCGGCCCCGCGTGTCGAACCCGCGCACTCGGCCGGCCCTGCCGCAAGGTGCTCCCGGGTGTCTTCACTCCCACCATCGGGGACTCCTCACCCAGGCCTGGGAGGCGGCCGGGCTCCTGCAGCTCCTGCAGGCGCGCGCCCGGCTGGCGGCTGAGGCTCCCGGTGCCCTGTGGCCACGCACGGCGCCCTTTCCCCCTCCCTCCTTTCACTCCTTCCTGTTCCACCGGCAGCAAGCAGTCTGGCTACTGGAGGCTGCGGTGAAGCTGGTGGGGCTCCCTGACTGCTCTGGAGCCAGCGGCACTCGGTCCGGCGGCCCTGCCCGCCCTGCCCACCCCCTGCTGCTGCTCCCACTGCCGCCCGGGCCTGGCCTCCCTGCGCCCTCGGCAGCCTGGCCAGCGGGCGGGCCTCGACTCCTGCCACGCAGAGCCGGCTCTGAAGTGAAGATCAAGGCCAGAGGTCTTGCCGCTGCAAAGAGCAGGCTTTCTAGTCCTGCCCCTCATCCGAGCAAAGGGCTCCGGGGGACACGTGTGCTCCCTTCCCTCCTCCCTGCCGGGCCTTCACAGGAGGACGCTGGTGTCTCACCGGGCGGGGGCCCCGTCAGCTGCTGATGCCTGCTCCCGGGAGGCCAGGGCGTCCTTCAGTGCCGGCCGGGCCTCGGACCCGTCTTCCCGGCGGCCTCGGGTCCGCTGTGCCGGCCGGGAGCCCGGGAGCCTGGTGGGGAGCAATGTGGGTGGGGCCCGAGGCTGCGAGGTTCCGGAGGGAAGACCCTTGTACCTGCCACTGGGCACGGGCCTCTGACAAGCACTTGAAAAGGATTTTTTTAACAATGACAATCCATACAGCTGAGCTGAGGATAAGAAGGCTCTGATGCCCGCCCTCTGGTTCCCCGCGGGGTGGTCTGCGTTCCTGGTGCGGAGGGGCGTGCAGCTCGTCCCAGTCTCATCAGCTTCCGCTGTGGACCTGACAGCCCTGAGCCTGGACGGTGACGGCGCTGAGAACCGGTTGGTGGACCAACGAGGGGGCCGGCCGGTCCTCAGGATGCTGGCCCCGAGGCTGCCCCTGGGAGTGGGTCATTTCCCGCGTCCCTCCCACGTCCCGGGCGACGCTGCATGGCCGCCTGAGGGCGCTTCCAGAGGGACCAGGCCTGACCGCTGGGCACCTGCACTCACCCAGGTTTACACGCCCTCAGCCCCTCCGTCCGGGGTGTCTGCAAACGGCTGGTCTGCCCTTCGGTGCCGCGACTTTTCAGCAGCCGGGAGAAGAGCCGCCACCCCAGAGGCTGTGGAGGCGGGACAGCTGCGGTGCCAGCGGCCTGGGGTCCAGCCCAGCCGGAGCGCGGACTGACCTGTGCGGGCATTTCCCCTTGAAAGCCCGAGTTCTGCGATCAAAACGGGGGGGGGGGGGGGCTGAAGACCAGCCTGGACTCGGCCACAGGAGGGGAGCAGAGGCGCCCCTCCCGCCCCGCACTGCTCCCCGGAAACCACGCCCTTTATTTATAGAGCACATGCCCTTTGTGATAAGAAACCAAAGAGAAATAAAGAGTACACGTCTATCGTGCCCTTCCCCGATTTATTTTAAATGCTGTTAGAAGTAAATCATATTTTTATTGCGATTCATTGGAGAAACAGAACAAAGTAAAAATATGCCTTGAAAATAAGGAAAAAGCCAGAGAGAGCAAACAGTCTTTGGAAAGGCGTGTATTCACACGAGGGGTTCTGGTGGGAGATGTGCACGCGTGCTCCTGTCCCGATCGCGCTTCCCTTGGCCCTCTGCTCGCTGCCATCGGCCTCCAGTCCCCGTGGCCTGTGGCCGCTGACTCCGGGCAAAACCGCTCCCTGCTCCCACTCTAGGCCAGAGTAGCTTTGGTACATGTAAGTCATGGGACATTCTTTTGTTTATTTTTTTAAATTTATTGAGGTGACATTGGCCAATAAAACTGCGGGTTTCAGATACACTACATCCTGGGTGTGTTGTACGGCGTTCACCACCCCAAGTCTGGGCCTCTTCCATCACCATCCTCTCCCCCCTCCCTCTCCGACTGCACGGGAAGTTCTCCGACCACAGGCTTCCCTGGGGCCGGGGGCCCGTGTCCGTGGAGACAGGATTCCTAGTTTCGTTTCCACTTCCCCACACGCAGCCACGTGCCAGACCCGCCTTCCTGAAGCCCGGTGCCGGCGAGGACGTAAGAAAGGTCACGCCTGCCCGCTCGGGCCGGGCTCGCCCTGCGCAGCGACAGCCGGGGCGTCCCGTGTTCGGGTTCACCCTGGGCAGCAACAGCCAGGGCGTCCCGTGTCCGGGTTCGGCTGCGCAGTGAAGCCGGGGCGTCCCGTGTCCGGGTTCGGCTGCGCAGCGAAGCCGGGGCGTCCCGTGTCCGGGTTCGGCTGCGCAGTGAAGCCAGGGTGTCCCGTGTCCAGGCTCGCCCTGCGCAGCGAAGCCGGGGTGTCCCGTGTCCGGGTTCGGCTGCGCAGTGAAGCCGGGGCGTCCCGTGTTCAGGCTCGGAAGGGATGCCCGTCGCACACACACCCACCAGCCCGTGTTCACACAAACAGGCCACTGACTCCCACGGGGCCCTCAGCAGCCCCGAGAAGGCAGCGTGGCTCATGGGGCAAAGAACCTGCCTCAGACCACTGAGCACCGGCCTGCCCACTCCGTCCAGGGCCGTGGTCACCGCCCAGGGCTAGGCCGCCTGCGGGGCCTGTCTGCGGCCTGGAGGGCACGGTCCTCCAGCCCCCGCCGTGCGGTCTGCTGCCCGGGCCTGGGCTGGCTCTGCCGCCGGGGAGAGGACCTGTGTGTGGTCACAGGAGGACCGCGGGCAGCACAGAGGCAGCAGCCCGCGGGCTCCGTGGCTCCGTGGCGGGAGAGATCAGCCCTTCCCCCATCCCGCTCTCCCATCGTGGAGGCTGCCGGGCTGCAGCTGCACACACCTCGTGCCTGCTCCCCTTCCCTCTCAGTCAGGCCTGGGACACCCCCTCCCTGGCACGGAGCCGCGCCTCTCCCCTCCCCCCGTGGCGCACACGCCTGGCTTTAACCGCCGCCCACGGTCGCGAACGTCACCCCCGACGGGACCGAGAGCCGCACGCCGGACTCCGTGTTCTCGCCCCCAGGCGCTCCGCGGCCCCGGTGAGAGCGCAGGATGCCGGTCTGCTGCCGGGGTGGCGGAGGGCGCTCCGAGTGCGACACCCTCTGCTCATCGCAGGAGGGGGCGGCGGCTGAGAGACGCCGGGTTCGGAGGTGCGGCCTGGCGCTGGGGAGGCTCACAGGAACTCCAGGCGGCCCTCACGTGCCCTCCACCGCCCTGTCCTGACCCAGGGACCTTGGCGCACGGGACCGCCCCGGCCGGCCTCCTGTCCAGCCTAGCGCTTCGTCCGTTCGCACAGGCACTCGGTCGTTCATGCAGAAATGCTTTATTGAGCCTCTCCCCTGAGGACGGCTGACCCCGGGCAGCCCCTGCGGGTGGGAAGGGACTGGGCGGGCGGTGTGGCGGGGGGGGGGGGGGGGGGGCAGGCATGCACAGGAGGAGCCATCCTCCCAGGAGCACCTGGCCGAGAAACCGGCCGGCGAATACAGCCGGGGGCACAGCAGGCCACGCCCGCGGGCTCTGAGGCCCCTGACCGCTCTGAGGAGGGAGGGACACCTGCTGGGGGCATGGCGCTGGGCCTGAAGGGTGAGTGGGAGTTAGACACAGACGGGCAGGCGTTCCGGCAGAGGGCAGCCGGCGTGCTAGAGCAGAGGCCTGTGGGGATTAGGCAGCAAGGGGGGTGCTGAGGGCGGTGGGAGGGGAGGTCACGGCGGGGTGCCAGCCTCCCCTCCCTCCCCAGCCCTAGAAATTGCTCAGGATGTTGGAGATGATGTCGAACTTGGCTTTCTCATATATGTCCCTGACCACAGGGGGCAGCTGGGAGCTGTCGACCTCTGGAGCGGCTGCTTCTGGGGACGGAGCCGACCGCTTCTCCCGCAAGCCCTGCAGAGGGCGCCGCGGTCACTCACCGCCCCCGCGGCCTACACCCTCTCCCCCCACCCCGTCACCCTTCCCGCCCTGTCTGGTCTCTCTCCCCGGGCGGCCGAGTTAGCCATGGGGCTGGCGGTGTGCCCGCTCCTCCCCTCACCCGCCAGGAGGCTGCACCTCAGGGTGGTTTCCCCCCAGATGTGGGTGCAGAGGAGGGTCAGTCCCTGAGGCGTTTCTTGGGGGAGAGCAGAGCCAGTGTCCTGCCCCCGAGGCAGGTGCCCTCCCAGCACCCCCTGCCCCCCCCGTCTCCCCCCTCCCCTGCTCCCGATGACCCCCATCCTC